AATTCATACAGATGGAAGAAGAAGATGATGATGAATTGTTTCTTGTCATTGTTCCTGCAATACTTGAATGTCTGAATGAAGAGAAGATGCCAGAGCATACCTCCGAGTATACTGGTGCTATGAAGGTGAAGGAAATTCTGGAGGGGCATGAGAATTGGTGTAAATATGAGTTTCGTATGGAGACACGAATATTTAAGGAGACATGTAACTATCTTAGGTGTGAGGGTCTATTGCGTGACACACGAGGTGTTACCATTGAGGAGCAGCTAGGGATGTTTATGTATATAATTTCACACAATGCTAGCAATGATAGACTGAAGAAAGCATTTCAGCATAGTTTTCAATATCATTCCCACTCACCTATAGATTTCTGAAGCTTCCTACTTTCAACCAAACCCACCCCAAGATAGCTACGGATCCTAGATTTTGGCCTTTTTTCAGGTGAGGCATAACACTAGACCTTACTGTCTCTCCAATATTTTGCTCTATTTTTAAGTTTCATCTTTTTACAGAATTGTATTGGTGCGATTGATGGCACACATGTGCCTATCACAATTGTAGAAGAGAAAGCCCCCCCATATAGGAATAGGAAAGGCACACTATCTCAGAATGTCAAGGTAGCATGTGACTTCAACCTGAACTTCATATTTATCTCTTGTGGGTGGGAAGGGTCTGCTTCAGATGCTGGAGTTCTTCGATCAGCTATTTCCAAGGGTTTCCAAGTTCCTGAGGGAAAGTTTTATCTTGTGGATGGTGGGTATGCAAATGCACCACAATTCCTTGTGCCTTATCAAGGAGTTAGATATCACATTGTTGAGTTTCGGCGGCGCTCATCTGGAAGAAGAGAACAATCATCATCATGCACTTCTTAGAAACCATATTGAGAGGGCTATTGGGATTCTTAAGGAAAGGTTTCAAATTCTGAAAGTGGAAACACATCATCCCATAGAATCTCAAATAAAAACTCCAGTAGTAGCCGCTGTATTTCATAACATAATTAGATGTCTAAATGGTGACGAGAATTAGCTTGATCACCAACCTACTTATATACCAGAATCTGATCATGTTGATCTTCCACAAGGAGATGATAATCATCAAAATGATGTGCAGTCGCTAAATTTACAAGACCATGCTGCAGACGTGCTAAGAGATCAGATTGCCATGCAAATGTGGGAACGCTACAATCAAAATCGTGCTTAGGAAGTAGCAGTCAAGTCATAGAGCATGAAGATTATTTTGTAGTGTGTTATGTAATAAATGTTGAACATGCCAATGTGTTATTGTATAAGACATTTATGTTTATGACTTCCTATCTATGTGAGTTATGTTATATGTCGCCAAACTATTACAGTTGTGTTTGAACGTTATATTTTGTAAACTCTAACTATGACTAAAGGACAAAGCTCAAGAGCATCATGGAGCTTTAGTTATGAGAAAGGACTTCTTGATGTACTTGAAGAACACAATCATGAAAGGTTTAAGGGCCAAAATGGTTGGTCACCTGAAGGATGGAGAAGTATCATAAAGCATTTCAATGAGAAGTTTCCATCTGCTGGATTTTCAAAGGCACAGATTCAAGACAAGGAGAAGGACATTAACGGAAACTACAAGGCCATTCGGGCAGGGATTAAGGAAAGTGGGGTTGGCTGGAATGATTCTTTGTGCATGATCAATGCTTTACCAGACAAATGGAAGAAACTTATTGATGTATGTTGTAAGATCATTTCACTTGCTAGATGCTTTAGCTTGTTACTATGCTGCTAACTTTAGTTTGCATTTGCCAGGATCATCCAAGGCTTAAGAAGTTCCAAGCAAAAGCATTTCCTTTGTATCACGAGTGTGAGAAAGTGTATGAAGGTAAACTTTTTTATTCAGCTACTAGTGCAGATAGTTTTTTGTTAGACTACTGCAGCTGTGCAACTGTCCTGCAGATAGCTTTTTTTGAACTATTAGCATGTGTTTCTCAGACTGTGCAGCTATGCAACTGTCCTGCAGATAGCTTTTTGAACTATTGAAATAAACTTTTTATTTCAATGTGTGTTCTGTACAGTAGTAGCTTTCCTGCTACTACTATCCTTTTCTGCTAATATTTTTGGGACATTCATGTGACTTGAGTTTATTTATCCAAAACAGGAAGCATTGCAACATGTGAATTAAATTTCACATCAACCGAGCCACTTGAGCTGCACCCCACCGTCTTCCACTCAACATGTCAACGCCAGTGACATAGATGCTCCAGATAGCAGCATGAACCCTTTCTCTGCAAGTATGGATGATCATAGGGCATCAAGTGAACCTATAGACCTCACTAGAGCAGAACCAGCTTCCTCTACTTGTTCGGGACAAAAGGGATCAGGAAGAGGGAAAAATAGAAGCATTGCTGGAGTTTTACAAGGCTATTTGGACCACAAGATAAAGCAAAGCAAAACTTTTGTGGAATCACTAGATGAAACAAGTAAAGGTGACTATTCTATCAGGAAGTGTATAGATCTTCTGGAATCCATGGAAGAGCTCTCCGATGAAGAGAAGGCGCAAGTAACAAGCGTCATGACGTGTGAGGTGAACAGAGAAATTTTTATCAACTTCACAAACCCAAGAGTTCACCTATTGTAGATCAAGGGTGAGATTGCTCCAAAGGTAAGTTTACTGTTCTTGTGACTACCTACCTTACTAGTACTACCCCTTGTGTAAGAATCTGACGGTACTCGGAGAAGTACATGGTCTTGTAGAATTGTGCTTTAATTGACTGCTGGAGTTTCTGTGAGTTTTATAGTGCCTTTGACTAAAACTGAAAACCCAAATGCCTAATTTTACAGTACTATGTAAAGCAGGAAGCTTTTCATTAATTTGGCTGTACAAGCAAAGATTCTAATCTAGTGTGCATGTAGAAGAATGATACTTTTGGCTATATGATAAAAAAGCTATTCTTTGCAAATCCTTGTTCTCGAGACATGAAACTTGCCAATAAAAACGAGCATCTGAATTAGCTTCAGTCTGGCTTTACATTGCACTATTTTATAAATATTACATTGCATCGACTAATAGTGATTTTTCTCCATCCAATTGCAGGGCTGATTCTATATGCTCTAGCTTGCTGATGCTGGTTGTGAGGATAGATTGTAGTCCAGTTATGCCGAGACAGCTATTGATTCTCTCTGGTTATGCAGTAAGATTAATGTAATATGTACTTTTGTCGTAAACCTGTGGACTCTTGTATGTTTTCTTGGGTTGCTTAACACACTCATCTAAAGCCAATGGTGACGACCAGCTGTGAGATGAACCTGTGGACTCTTGTGTAAGATCGAAGTTCATCTGTTTGTTGACCATATGAGATGAATAATGTGTGCTTTGAATTAGTGTAATTGATCTTCTTTTATCCAATTTGTGTATCATACTATTGAAAGATTATTCATGGCACTAATTTTCAATTTTGCAATCGCATTTTTTGAAATCTTCATTTTTTCTGATTTTTTTAATATTTTTTGCCTGGCCGGGATTTGTATCTTGGTGGTTCTCAAACGGTGGCCGGTAATTTTTCCCCTAAGGGGATCCCGTCTCCTGAGGGGACAGGGATGGCAGGTGTAGTGGAGAATTTCCCCAGAGGGCTCAAACCCACGTATGTGGTTTTGGGGACCCTGCATCCCCGCGTGATGCGCAGGGGGCGCGAGGCCCGTGGGAGCGGCACCCCCTCCATTCCGCATTGCCATTTGGATACCCCTTGCGCTAAAAAGACCCGTGCCTTGTCAACCCGTTCCCCGTCGATCCATGGGGGAATAAAAAATCATCTCCCGAGTCATGTTTCTGTCTCTCGTCGCCTCTCACGCTTGTTTCAGTGACTCGTGACTCGCAAAGGATGGAGAGGCATGGTGGCTAGGGTTTGAGCGTCGCCACTTCCAGTCTCGTGCGCCACTCGTCCCCATCTCCCTCTGGCCCCGACTCCCTTCGTACTAGTAGCGGCACGCACTCCATCCTCCCGGAAGAAACACCGGCACCCCTCCGCTCACCACCCCGACTCCCTTCGTACCAGCAACACCGCTTCTCCATCCGCCGGGAAGCAGCGCTGCACACTGCATCTGCTCAGAAGAAACACCGCTCCCCTCCCCTCCCCATCCTCCAACCCTATCCGAGGTAAAAGCACAATCCTTGTACTGCATATTCTTGTTTATGAGCTACTCATCTATTTTCCCCATTCAAATTAAAGGGCCTGGTAGTGTTTTCTTTGCTTGCCTGATGTTCTTAGCCCTAGCGTGTATTTGTGAGTTTGGATCTGGTGTGTAGTCTGATTTGCGGTAGCCATAAGGCCCTTTTGGAACATGGGATTCCCCCTTTTTCCTTATGATGAAAATAAACTGTTGTGAAAAAAAAGATTTGGATGATGGAATCCCGGAAATACTACTATTAGTTCGCCCATGCTTGCAAAATTAGTACTACTACCTGTGATCTAGTTCTAGTTCTTGGTTCAGAGATGCTTTATTTTCCAGGTAGAGAAATTAATACTACTTCCTGTGATCACAATAAATTAATACCTCTGCCTGTGATCAAAAGAAATATTTTCTGATTTAGTACTGCTATCTGAGATGGAGAAATTAGTACCGCTGAAATTAGTACTGCTACCTGTGATCTAGTTGTCCAATTTGTTATGCATTTAGCTGAAATATTTCTTGTGCATTTGTCTGATTTAGTTTTCTGAATAGGATCTAGTTTAGTTCTTGCTGGTTGCACAGCTGGAGTCTAACTTGACCCGTCTGCAGTTCAGTTTGTGTTGCAGGTTGTAGCTGGTTATGTCAGCTAGCTTAATTTTTAAAATTATAAATACATAAGTATTAAGTGGGCCAATATTTCAGCTTGTTTCTGTTTGCAACTTTTAGATAATGGGCTCTAGGAAGGAGAGAATTAGGAAATTCATACAGAATCTGATCATGTTGATCTGCCACAAGGAGATGATATAATCATCAAAATGATGTGCAATCTGAGTTCTACAAGGCTATGTGGACTACAAGATGAAGCAAAACAAGACTTTTGTGGATGCACTGAATGAAACAAGTAAAGCTGACTATTCTATCAAGAAGTGTATGGATCTTTTGGAATCCATTGAAGAGCTCTCGGATGAAGAGAAGGCGCAAGCAACAAGCATCATGAAGTGTGAGGTGAACAGAGAAATTTTTATCAACTTCACAAACCCAAGAGTTCACCTGTGTTGTGGATTAAGGGTGAGATTGCCCCTAAGGTAATTTTCTTGCTTCAGAATTTCTTTAAAAAGTTCAATGTTGCCTGGTTCTAGGGCCGTAGGTGCTGTTAATTTTAGTTAGAGATCTATAATTCTAAACCTGTTGACTTTCTGTACATGTGTTGAGAAACTGTGAAAACTTGCATGTGTGTCGCATATATTAATTTTCTTTGATAGTGAACCAGATTTTTTCTTTGATAGTGTTGAAAAACTGAGAAAGCTTTTCAGTTAGTGAACCAAATTTTGATTTGCATAAATCCAATATTTTTTCTGTTGATGAAACAATTTGTTCAGGTAGCTTTTACTACAACGATGACATCAGTGCATCCTGTGGGAACATGCTTTGTTCAGGTAGCCATATTCTGTAGATGAAACAATTTTTTATACACATAATAAATCCAAGAAACCAAAGGACTAAGGAGATTACAATTTCGTACTGTGACAATGTTTTTGTATTATGTGACCACTTTTTTCAGAAATGTTATGCGACCACTTTTCTTCAGAAATGTTATGTGACCACTTTTCTTCAGATATGTTATGTGACCACTTTTCTTCAGAAATGTTATGTGACAAATTGTTTGTTGATGTAGGTTTGATGAACCCAAGAGTTCGCCTATTGTGGATCAAGGGTGATATTGCTCCAAAGGTAAGTTTACTGTTCTTGTGACTACCTACCTTGCTAGTACTACCCCTTGTGTGAGAATTTTACGGTACTATGAGAAGTACATGGCCTTGTAGAATCTATTTATGAAATCTGACCTTCTGCCAGTGCCAAGTGCTGCAATTGACTATTGGAGTTTCTGTGAGTTTTTATAATGCCTTTGACTGAAACTGAAAACCCAAATGCCTAATTTTATACTTCTCTGTAAAGCAGGAAGCTTTTCATTAATTTGGCTGTACAAGCAATGTTTCTAATCTAGCGTGCAAGTAGAAGAATGATGCTTTTGGCTATATGATAATAAAAGTTATCCTTTGCAAATCTTTGTTCTCGAGACATGAAACTTGCCAATAAAAACAAGCATCTGAATTAGCTTCGGTCTGGGTTTACATTGCACTATTTTATAAATTTTACATTGCATCTACTAATAGTGATTTTTTCCATCCAATTGCAGGGCTGATTCTATATGCTCTAGCTTGCTGATGCTGGTTGTGAGGGATACATTGTAGTGCTGTTATGCCGAGACAGTTGTTAATTCTCTCTGGTTATGCAGTAAGATTAATGTAATATGTACTTTTGTCGTAAACCTATGGACTCTTGTATGTTTTCTTGGGTTGCTTAACACACTCATCTAAAGCCAATGGTGATGACCAGCTGTGAGATGAACCTGTGGACTCTTGTGTAAGATCAAAGTTCATCTGTTTGCTTACCCTATGAGATGAATAATGTGTGCTTTGAATTAGTAAAGTAATTGATCTTTTATCCAATTCGTGTATCATACTACTGAAAGATTATTCATGGTACTGATTTACAATTTTGCAATAGCATTTTTTAAATCTTCATTTTTTCTAATTTTTGTGAATATTTTTTTGCCTGGCCGGGATTCCCTGTGTTCCCAAACGGTAGCTGGTAATTTTCCCCCAAGGGAATTCCGTCTCCTGAGGGTGGCAGGTGCAGCGGATAATTCCCCTTGGGGGCTCAAACCCACGTGGTTTTGGGGACCCTGCATTAGTGCATCTCTTGGGCTTGTGATTCCCATCGACTCCAATGAACCATTTCCAGGCCATCCTCTGTAGCCGCAATCCCTCCAGTCTAGCAGAACTCCTGATATTACTTGCTAGAGCCGGCCAATTCCGTATGTAATTCTTTGGTTGCTCGGTGAGTGCTGCCGTGCCGGCCGGCCCGTTGTCCTAGCCACATGCTATGGCTTCGTGGACAAGTTCCATCCTCGCTGAATCGCAGACCACGACCATCAGTCCCAACAATGCCTAGAAGGGGTTGTGTCATTATCACGCAAACGTGGGTAGCGAGAAAGCATGTGCGCACCGCGTGCACCGCGAACGTCGCGCCAAGCTTCTCGAAGCGCAGTATATTCTCGACTTGCTCCTGGCCTCTAGGGTCGGATCACTATACTTCCATATGTAATCCAGGTTCCAGTGATAACCTCTGGAGAACCAGGCTCGCCAAGCTCATAGCAATAATCTCATCCTGGTTGATGAAGGTTATTATGTCCAAGTTGTCATCCCGCATGACTAGGGTTATTGATGACGTTTTATGCACGCTCTCCACCGCTAGCTTTCAGTTTTATGTGAAACAACATCTCTGACCACCGTAGATCGAGCAACTTTAAGAGCCTCTCTATATCCTTTCTTATTGATTGGAATAAAGATTTTGGTGGAAAAAATGCCTCCCAACAGTTTCTGTAATTAGATTTTCAAATATTGCTATCATCTATTCTGTCAGTTGGAAAGGAAAGTTACTGTCGGCTGGAGGGAGGTTGGTATTGATTAATTCGGTGCTAACTAGTTTAGCTATGTTCATGCTATCTTTTTTCGAGGTCCCTAGAGGAATCCTTCAGAAACTAGATTACTATCGATCACATTTTTTCTGGAAATGTGTTGAGCATAAAAAGAAATATGGTCTCGCTAGATAGAGTGTTCTCTGTAAACCCAAGGATTTTGGTGGACTAGGCATACAAAACCTAGACATTCAAAATAGATGCCTACTGAGTTAATGGTTGTTTAGGCTCATAAATGAAGATGGAGTATGGCAAAGGGTTCTAAGAAAGAAATACTCCCTTCCATCTCATAATAAATGCACTTCTATAGTTCAAATTTTGTCCCAAAATAAGTGCACCTCTATATATGAGATAACCTAAGTCTGGTTGTCTTTTTCTACTTTCTCTCTTCTTGAGGTGCAATGATTACATTTTTATAGGGGTATAAATATAATTTCTCACTAGCATTGATCTTCCCACCAAAGAGCTAGAAGTGCACTTATTTTGGGACGGAAGGAGTATTTGTGTAACAAAACTCTAACACAAGTGCAACATTGGCCAGGTGACTCCCACTTTTGGTCTGGCCTTTTGAAAGTTAAAGTTGATTTTCTAGCCAGCGGGTGTTTTAAAGTGCAAAGTGGGAACAAGTCAGATTTTAAAAGGACATTTGGTTAGGAGACAAACCTCCTATAGAGGCATATCCTAATATTTTTAGAATTGTAAAGAAAATAGATGATACGGTGGCAAATGTCCTATGGACTGTACCACTTAATGTATCAATTAGGAGAGGTTTGGAAACACTAATCTGAACTCTTGGTATGACTTGGTGTCCAAAGTTGTCCCGGTCAATCTCACATCGGGTACAGACTTGTTTCGGTGGAATCTGACAAAGAATGGCTTTTTCACGGTCCGGTCTATGTATAGGTCTATGATTAAGCAAGGAGTTCTACTGGAAAAAAACTCACTTTGGAAATTAAGTGTACCATTGAAAATCAAGATTTTTCCAAGGTACTTAATAAAGAGAGTTACAATTACTAAAGACAATTTAGCAAAAAGAAATTGGTAAGCTGACATCAAATGTTGTTTCAATAGTGCTGTTGAGACTATCCTTATTTTTTTATTGCTATTTTGCGAGATTCGTTTGGAATGCGGTGCACACTACCTTTGGAATTCAACCACCCACTAGTTTCTCTAATATGTCTGGTTCTTGGCTGAATGGCTTTGATCCTAAGCTTCAAAACCAGATTTTGTTGGGGGCTGCGGCACTCTGTTGGGCTTTATGATTGAATAGAAATGATGTGGTTTTTAACAAGGTTAAATCTAATACATATTTTCAGGTAGTCTTCAAGGAGACTTATTGGATCTGACAGTGGTCCCTGCTGCATAAGAAGGAGAAGCGTCCATTGTTCAAGCGTGGTTGCAGAGACATGGAGACAATGATAATGGCGGCCTTTGCAAAGTTTGGTTGGTGCTTCCGGAATCGAATTGAAGCGTAGCTATTAATTCCTTTCCAGTCGTTTGGTTGCTCGCCTTAGATGGGCTTAAGCTTTGTTGCTTTTTTATTCTCCACTTGGTTGAAAGCACTTGGGCCTTATGGCTTGGTTTTGTGGTTGACGCTCAGTTGTGTACCATCCCTGGATGGTAGAGGCTGGAACTTTGTTCCGTTATCGAGAAAATCTATTCTGGATTTCTCACTAGACAAGATACAAAATAAAGAAGCCGTTGGAGGGTGGATATAGAGAGTGATTTTTATTTAAATGGTTCTGTGAATGGTGATTTACAGAGTGACTTTAAGAAAGATTCTTGGAGATGCTCCTATATATGAAAATAAACTAAAATGAGTTATGTTCACTCTAGATGCCAAAATAAAGCTACCAGCTTAGAGCAACTCTAAGAGACTCTTTATATCCTTCCTAATTTGTAGGAATAGAGATTTTAGTGAAAAAAAAGCTCCAACAGTTTTTTTAAATAGATATGTAAATATAGACATCCTCTATTTCGGATTTCTCGCTAGCCAAAGCTAGAGAGCAAGGATAGCTCTCTAGAGTACACACAAGATATACATAAGCTGTTGGAGGATACAAAGATATAAAAACGATTTTTACTCAAATAACTCTCCAAATGATGATTTATAGAGTAAATTTTAGAAAGATTCTTAGAGATGCTCTTATTTTAGCTTATTTTGACATTAAGAATAGTTGATGCCATCTCTTAATATTACTAATTAGAGCATCTCCTGCAATGCTACCCAAATCAGACCCTCAACTTGTCTTTTTGGATAGCCACCCATTTGGATACTACTTATTTTACGTTGTTTTCTCCAGCAACACTACCTAAAGTAGACCTCCCAAACCTATCCTAGTAGAGAATGGCATGTGGGACACACATGTCAACCTCTATTAGGTTCTTCCCATGGACAGATGGAGCAGAACTAGCAGGACGTCGGCATGGCAAGCCACGCCAGGGCAGGTCACGCCTGGCAGGGCAGTGCCGCCGAGGCAGGTAGCGCCAGGCAGGGCTGTGCCACCGGGGAGCCTCGCCTGGCAGCGTCATGGCCTCGTTGGGGAGGGCCACCACACTCGGGGCCTGCCACACTGGAGAGGCATTAGCCACCACGCCAGTGGCCTGCCGCGCCGAGCAGGGGTAGGATCTGTGCCGGTCGGGGTGGATGCGCTGCCGGTGGCTGGGCGGACGCCGCCGGCCTACCGGCGGTCGTGGGAAAGCACCCGGCCAGGCGAAAGCGTTGAGCGGTGAACGAGTCAAGCGGTGCAGGTCATGCATGGAGTCGCGTGGGGCAGGAAGAAGCGTGGTCTAGGATTTGGGTGGCCGAGTAGGGGGCTAAGAGGAATGGGTAGTGGCAGGGAAAAATAGGAGGCCAACAAATCTGGGGGGTCTAGTAGGGGTCTGCTGGAGCTGGTTTTTTTTTTGCCTCCACTATCCAAATTGGGGATATGGGTCTAGTAGAGGGTGTTGCTGGAGATGCTCTTAGGTCTCATTTGGTAAACTCTGCTTTACCGGTTGACTATTTTTTTTAGCTTTTAACTCCATGGGCAGCTCCATTGTTGGAGAGGAAGCAAATTTGGAAAAACGTATGGTAAAACAACTTTTCATAGTAGATTTGGGAGAGGGAGTTGGAAGAAGCTAGTATTTTTAAGCTCCATCTGCCATTCACCCCTTATGAGAATGGATGTTAAGGAGCTCCACTTGAGGAACTATTTCATTTTAATCCATTTGGCAAAAAAAATAGCTTTAAACAACTCTTGAAGCTGTTAAACAAGCTATGCCAACCGGATCTTAGAGGCACCAACGGAGTCTTCATGTTAATTCTCACCGGATACTCTAGAAACAAGATAAATTATACAAATTCTAACAATAATTAGAAATATCTGGTGACGAGTATCTAAAACCTGGGTTACCTAAACGGATAAACCCACCACTCAACACGCCCCGAGGAAAAATTAGTAGAGGCAGAAAATTAAGCAGGTGCCCCTAAGATTCCTATCCACCACGCACAGTGGAAGTCTCCAATCACAGATTTTTTTTTTCACGCACAAGCAAAGGATGGGGAGTAGTGCACTAGAGAAGATGAGTGGAGAACGCAGGAGGGAGAACAGATGGAGTTGATATTTTTTGCTCAGTGGGCCCCACCCTGCCCTTAAGGTACATTTTTTTAGAACACTTTT